GGTAGCACATCACACAAAAAAGACACCTTTCTGTCACAAAAATCTTTTTGATTGCACTCACGTTTGGTTACGCGATGACTCAGTCAGAAAACCATTACAACCACCATACGCCGGTCCATTCCGAGTTGTAAATAGAATAAATAATAATGTTTTTACTTTAGAAATTACAGGTAAAAATGTCAATGTCACTATCAAAAGGTTGAAACCAGCATTTCTTCCCAGAGAACCAAATAGAGAACAAACAGATTCTACGTTTACCTCTACTACTCACGAGCCACTCAGAACATATACTGGTCCAAGAAAGAAGGTCCAATTCGTAACGTAGGACGTTGCTCGGGGGGGGGGGGGGGAGGAGTACTGTGGCAATTGTCGAGTCAAAAAAGAACAGACCGACTTTACCAATAAAGATAGAATCTTAGTTACCGACGTTGAGTTGTGATTAGCAACTATTTAACAAATTATTGATTAATTAATTGCCATAGAAATAATCTATTTACCTTAACAACATTTGTATTTTGTTAATCAGTTTTATTTCACTCTTCATCTGTACATTGTATCGATAACATCAAGTCAAAATATAGTTACCTAAAAGTACAATTCAATCTTTTCCTTATTTAATGTAGTAGTTCTTATTTCAACCGCTACAAACAGGCACGTTTTAGCTCCATCTGTCCTAATATTAGCCAACTAATTTATTGCTCTGTTTTACTCTCGTGCCTCAATCTCGCACACACACATATGCTTAAATTTTTACAGACATTAATCTTTTTTATTAGGCTTCTAAAATTACTTTTAAAAATTCACAGATATTCTTTCATATTAGACCGAAGACGGACGCTATGTCTTTTGCACAGAAAAACTGTAGAATTTTAAAGTTAAACAAATACTGACGCCACGTGCAGATAACAAAACTGTAATTAAAATTTTTTCCGTTTTTACTAAACATTATAGCGTCCGTTCTTCATTATTATAAGTACTTAAATTGTGGAGAAGGATTCTTCAATCTGTATAGCTAAAAAAAAGATTAGTGTCTGTAAAAATAATGTTGGTAAAGAAGAACTGTAAGATCCTCTTAACTATTTCTATAAAACTCTTCTATAAAACTCTTGTACATAAAGCTGTCGTATATGTTACCAAAACAAAACAGTATTGCTTTACCTGTCAAAAAAATTGTACATATTTAGAACCTTTCCAAAAAACCTGTCGTATATATCTAAAAAAAAGCTGTTGTATATATAATAAAATTTTCAAAAAAAGCTATCCTATATACTTTTTACAAAAAATATGATATCAGGAAATGGCGCCAAGTGGGACTAAAGAACTATGAAGAAAGTTGTACACTATTTCTATAAAACTCTTGTACATAAAGCTGTCGTATATATAATTAATTATATGGTTCGCCCAGGCTTTTTCGTTGCTGATGCTGCGTGCAGTCAGCTGAGAGATCGATCGATAATATCGATCGGTCATTCAACGGTGTGAGAAGCTGTTTCTTAGCAACTTTGAAATGTTATTAATAATGTCTGTAATCATGGTAATATTGTTTAGACGTCTCTATGACAGTTTGTAAATAAACTGTGAGACGTCAGATTTTCGAAAGCTGTCTGCTCGGGCGGACGTGTGCGATGGCTCTGATCTTTTAATTGTATTCCCGGTTACTCGTTGTATTCATTCAAGTTATTGTTCTTATTAAAGTGTGTTCTTTTATTCAAATAAAGTGTTCCTTGATTTCCGCGAGTTCCGTTGACGTGTGCGATACTTCGTTTCGCGGGCGCAACATTTTTTGGGGGCTCGTCCGGGATCGGAGCGGTTATTCAGTGGTGCAGTGCAGTGCGGAGCAGTGGTTTTATCATGTCAACGGTCCACTCGCCGAAAAAAACACGTTCCCAGACTTCATCAACGTCGGCTGAGTCGGAGATGCTGCGCGCAATTCTGCAGGAGCTCGGACAGCTTCGGGAGGAGCGAAGACAGGAGCGGGAGCAAATTCAAGCAGAATTGAGGCAACGGGACGAGGCGCTGAGCAGATTAAAGCAGCAGATTAACCAGATAAGTCCAATAATAATACTCAGAATGGCGATCAGGGCGAGAGTTCTGCGACGGGAAATGTTTCGTGCGTGCTCGTAAATTCGGTGTCAGTAAATTTGGGTTATAAATTGAAACCAGATATGTATGACGGGACGGGATTGTTAAGGAAATTCTTTTCTCAATTTAATTTGATCGCGAGTGCGAATAATTGGACAGAGAATGCAAAAACTATTGCGTTAGCATCCTGTCTTAGGGGAAAGGCAAGAATGGTATTAGATTGTGTTTCGGAAATCGAAAATTTAAGTTTCGCAGAATTAAAATAAAAATTAGAGTTACGATTTGGTGAAGGTCATCTTTCCGGAACGTATTACACGCAATTTACAAATAGACTACAAAAATTTGGTGAGGAAATATCGAATTTAGGCGCTGACATAGAAAGGTTGTCAAGGTTAGCCTATTCAGAATGTTCGGAAGTCCGAGAAAAGATAGCGTGTGCGCAATTTGTTAATGCGCTGAATGATCAGTTTATAAAATAAACTCTTCAGTTAGAGGGAGTCTCTTCATTAAAATTAGCAATTAAAAGAGCGAAAACTGTAAAAGAAATTAACAAAAATAATTTTTCAGAAATAAAAAGAAGAAACTTTGAAAAATTTGAAAAAGATAAAAGTGAGAAAAATTATAATTTTTCTGAAAAATTAGAATCAGAAAAAGAGATAAAGAAAAAGGAAAATAAGAATTTTAGTAGAAATAATTTTAATAAAAATAAAAACAGTTTTCAGAAAAATGATAAGGAATGTTGGCAATGTGGAAAGTCAGGACACTTCCGAGCAGAATGTCCGGCTTTAATAAAAGAAAAGTCAACAAACTAGGTTTTGTCGAATTGTTCGGGGTAGATTCGACAAAGAGCAAAGAGGCCCCGAAAAGAGAATTAAGATTAAGTCGTATTCAGAAAGAAAAGTTTTGTTTTAAAGGGTTAATCAATGAAAACCCGTGTTTATTTAGAGTTGATACGGGTGCGGATGTTTCGATTTTAAGTAATAGAATGGCAGAAATGTCGAAGATTTATAATAATTCGGGAAATGAAAGATTAATTTATCCCATGGGAGAGGAAATTTCAATTTGTTTTCGGATAAATGCAAAGGTGAAATTAGGGAAGTATTCATTAGACTTGTCTCTTTTAGTCGCGGAAATTAGCGACGATTGTATTCTAGGAATAGATTTCTTGTCAGCAACAAATGCGGAAGAAAGTCTTCGGTCTGCATTAGGATTGACTGGGAAAGAGTTTGCTTGTGCACGGTTAAATTTTTAAAAAGATGAAATTCCTTTTGCTTTAAGGGAATTATTTGAACGAGATTTGGAAAATTTAGATTCTTCTCAAAAAGAAATGTATGCAAAAGTTTTGCGAGATTATCAAGATGTTTTCTCAGAAGAAGTTATCGCTGGAAATTGTGATTTAATAAAACATGAAATAGACGTAGGAAATTCGCATCCTTAAACAAACACCTTGTCGGATCCCTCTTCATTTGAGAGCTGAGGTAGAGGAAATAATAAAGGAAATGGAGAAACAAGGTGTAATAGAAAAATCACAAAGTCCATGGTTATCTCCTGCGGTTATGGTAAGGAAGAAACATGGATTACTTTGTTTTTGTGTTGATTTCCAAAAAATCAATACTGTGACAATAAAAGATTCTTATCCTCTACCGCGAATAAACAATACGATTGATCAGCTTTCTGGAAATTCTTGGTTTTCTACTCTTGACCTTAAGAGTGAATATTGGCAAATTAAAATTTGCCCTGAAGATAAAGAGAAAACAGCATTTTTGTTAGAAACCGATTTATGGCAATTCACTGTAATGCCTTTTGGGTTGTGCAATGCTCCGGCAACATTTGAACGATTAATGGAGCAAGTTTTGTGTGATTTAATATCGAAAATTTGTTTAGTATACCTAGATGATGTAATAATTTTTGGGAAAACTTTTGAGGAAATGTTGCAGCGGTTAGAAATTGTCTTTTTACGATTTAGATCTACTCATCTTAAACTTAATCCAAAGAAATGTTCTTTTCTTAGAAATTCTGTAAAATTTTTAGGACATATCTCCAGAGAAGGAGTGACTACTGATCCGGAAAAAATAATCGCTGTAAAGGATTAGCCAGTTCCTCAAAACAAAAAGCAATTGCGTAGCTTTTTAGGATTTTTTTCATATTACAGGAAATTCGTGAAAGGATTTTGTTCATATTACAGGAAATTCGTGAAAGGATTTTCTTTTAGACAGAAAGAAGAAAATGTGTGCTATTCTGATGTTTTTAATTTTGAAGTCACATTATGAGAAAGAAATAAAGGCATTTTCTCAAAAAAGATTATGGATTAAACCATGGAAAGCTAGAAGAAAAGAAAAAGGTTCTTTTTATAATCTCTTTATGGAGTTACAACTAGAAGATCCAGAGAAATATCGTAGGTAGGTATGAAATCTTTGTCTTTATGTACAAGTTATAATCAACGGAATATGAATGCAATTTGATTACAATTTAATAACTAATCGTCTTCAATAACTAATAATAAATTTTTCTGTCAGATGTTTTCGTATGAATTCAGATATGTTTGAGGATCTTGTGGAAAAATTGACTCCACTAATTAAAAGACAGAATACTCATCTTCGGGAAAGTATCTCACCAGCAGAAAGGCTTGCTGTGACATTACGTCATTTAGCAACAGGTATTTTATAGAACAAATGTAATTCAAGCAAGTTATATATTTTGTGTGACCTTTTCTATCATATAACATTTCTGTTATCTTTTGTAGGAGAAACTCAAGAATCATTATCTTATACTTTTCGTCTAGGGCAAAGCACTATATCTGGGATTATAAAGGATACTTGTGGTGCCCTTATTTCTATTTTGCAAAAAAAATATCTTAAATTTCCAGACAATGAATTGGCTTGGAAAGTAATTCCTCATAATTATATGGAAAGATGGAATTTTCCAAATTGCTTGGGTGCCATGGATGGCAAACATTGTCTGATAGCAGGGATCGGCATCATCGATATTTTCAGTAATAATTACAGCTTTGATTAACAATTACTTAGATAATTAGTAATCAAACTCGAAAATTATTTGATTACTTGATTAACCAATAATCAAACTCGAAAATTATTTGATTACTTTATCAATCAGTAATCAGAAAATAAAATTTTTGATTACTCGATTAATCAGTAATCAAACTCGAAAATTATTTGATTACTTTATCAATCGGTAATCAGAAAATAAGATTTTTGATTACTCGATTAATCGGTAATCAAACTCAAAAATTATTTGATTACTTTATCAATCGGTAATCAGAAAATAAAATTTTTGATTACTCGATTAATCGGTAATCAAACTCGAAAATTATTTGATTACTTTATCAATCGGTAATCAGAAAATAAAATTTTTGATTACTTGAATAATTGGTAATCAGAAGGAAATAATTTCAATTACTTGATTACTCAATAATCGAGGTCTGATGTTTCTTGATTATTTTAGTTAATTAATAATCAGCGCAAGGCAGCAATTACGTAGAGAAATAAGGAATAAATTCAACGAAATATTTTTGTAATAAAATTAATTGAATTAATTAGAACTTTTTGTGACTGATAAAGGAATAGTTCAATTAACAAAATAATTTCTCCGTTTTCAATGAACTAATATGTTTAATGTAAATGAAAGTCTGCGTTTATTTAAAAAAAAAAATTTGCAAGATCCAGTGATTGCTTCTCTCAATGCAATATCTAAAGTAAATTAGTGAATAATATATAAAGAAATATATTAAATTGATGAGAATTGACAGAGGCACAATATTAATGTAAGTATATTTTTAGTATAAGTAATTTTATTTTTACGTTCTCCCAAAGATACAATTTGCTTTTGACAGTACTCTTTTTCAAAATTGTCATCTGTCAGCCGATTAAATTTTGCAGCATCAAACATGGTGGCAAAACTGAACATTCTTTCGACTGGAGCCGAAGATGGCAACAGAGTATTATATTTTTAAAATGCCGATTTAATAATTGGGTATGCATGCAAAATTGATATATCGTTTTTCTGCTCTTGGCAGAAACGTTGAAATTCAATCTCACATGCAGTAACCCCTGTAATATTTTCAACGTTTTCATTGTCGAAATCAAACCCGTCATTACTAATGTCCATCTAATTAATATCTATCAGATTCTGTGATGGAACATTGTAACATGACGCTATTCCATTTTTTATAGCGGTCAATGCGTTATCTCGTGCCGTTTTACTTAGGCATTTCAACCATCTTATTTTAAACTTGGGGTGAGTTGCCGCCGCTACAGCAGCTTGCTTTCCTTCCTCGACAACTTTTAACAAATTCGAAAATCTACAGTGGAAGGAAAAACTATTAAAATCTATCTTAAATTTACTGAAATACGAACGTAATTAAATTAATTTTTTCCAAATTGATGTTTATAATTAATTTTTGATAATTAAAATTACTTAGTTTTGCTTTCTCGCGTCTGTAACACTCGATATTCTAGATAATAATTGATGCAATCGATCGTAAATTGTTTTTACCTTCTTTCTAAACTCGTTATTAGTAGATTTATCAATGCTGCGCAATAAATTAAATCTGCGTTGATCATTTTCTGCAATTTATTTTTCGCAGAAATAATTGTTGGTAGCAAGTAGCCATAACTAACATCTACTTCACCCTGAAGAATATCAAGTGCTTCTGCGATTGGCTCAGTGCATTTAACGTACTCCTCTAAGAATCTGTAAAATTAATAACACATTAACAAATCAGTTGAAAAATTTTCATTTTGCATGTTTTCCAAATTGTGTATATTACATAAAATCGTTCGATGTTAAAGGATTTGCAATATCCATTTGAACATTCAGGATCAGAAGGTTGTCTTTCAACTTTATAAGTTGTTTGAAGCAGTCGAACAACGAATTCCATCGCGTAG